ATGGCGCTTCAGAAAACGGTACTAGCGACTGGAAACTGTATCATTTTTTAAAATGCCCACGTTGTCATGTTGTAGGCGGTCGAAATCTTCTCCGACAAGATGGTCTATGCGCAGTATATCGGCTCGTGTACGCCGCCGGCACCGTATCCTCGGCTGCCGCCCGTGGAGAGTCGCATTGCGTGCCGGCGGTATGACGAGGCGACGCGCGTGGTCATTGTGTGGCGCTCGATTCTGGACGATGCGCTTTTTCCTATGCCGACGCACCACCTCAAGGGCGACGAGTGTGGATGGTACTACTTGTTGTCTCTACTAGGTTGTCTGAAAGGGATTAGGGTTGTCGTCCAGCAGACTGACGCAAACCATGCACGGCTCTTGTCGTATTCGACGACCAAGCCACCGCTCGTCCCCAAGGCACAAGATAGTACGTCGTCGGTCGTGCGCGCACCTGGCATGCTCACCGAGTTGCTCCTGCGCCAAGTCCACGCCAGCTGCGACGCAGTGGACTTGACGATTCAGCGCGGCCTCGCGTCAGCAGCATCACCGACGGCAGCTGCTTGAGTCGATGAGGAATCCCATACTAGTACTGTACTACATGCGAGCACTCGATCCATGCATTGCATTGCATGGAGGGCTCTGGCAGTGCAGACAGGGGGCAGGGTCCAAAACCAGAGATTTGGAGCGAGTTTCCCTAGCCGGACCATCCGACGGCACCCGCGAGAGACGCAGCTGACATGGACATGGGTCGTGTTTGGCACACCAGATCATTCCCGCCGTTGGAGCCGCAACTGTCATTTTGCACCTGTAGTTGCGGTATCTATGCGTTGATAGAGGTTTGTCACATACAAATGAAAAGGTATAGACAAGTTTTAGGTATGCATTTACAGAGGCTTTTTTTCGAACGGTTCGAAAAACCGAGCCGCTCGATCGCTGGGACGCGCGCTCTGCGTGTGGCACCACGCGGGCGGCAGCAACACGGACGAACCTTCGTATCTGCAAGAAGATAACGACGCCTTTATGAAGCGACTGGTCAACCGACAGGACAAGCTGACACCCGCAACCGCGAGTGCCCGCAACGGCGTGAGCCAGCGAGACGGCTTCATCAGTGAACCTATGGGGACCCACGGCGCGCAGTCGCGGGCCTCTATCAAAGCAACGAAGTCGTCCATACCAACGGATGCCACATCAATTGCATTGTCATGGTTAGGCGGCAGCGTCATGCTTGTGCAGTCGGTCTTTCGGCCGCGCACGATCGTGCTCTAGATGGAGATGATGTGCTCGAGGTGGACGACGCGGAGGATGTCAGCGGCCATTATACAGTTGACGTATCTGCGATTGTGTTTCGCCTTTACTGCGACAAGCGCTCCACCAAGACGCACCCCGTCAAGGCTCCAGGCGACCGACACGCAACCGCTGCGGCCCGTCGTTGACACGCCGTCGTCACAGTCGTCCCCAAGCCGGTACGATGGTGCATGCTCGCATTGGTAAATCAACATTGTGGTATCGACCACATACGACTGGAGAATTCCACTCGGTCTACAGCTCACTCGACTGTTTTATCGAGAATATTAGTTGTCAACGACGCGGGTTCGCATCGCAACTTGCGCCTCCAACGCGACAAGAAACTTGGCGCTGTTGGCCATAAAGATCGTCGTGACCGTGTCGGTGAACGCGCCGACTGGAAATGCGGGCCAGCCGAGGTGCGCTGGCGGGATGATGGGCGGCGTCAGCGTAAAGTAAATCGAGAACCGAGCGCGTGTCGGGCTCTCGGGCTCTATCACCGCCCTAATAGTATCAACCGACTCGTATTGTATCAAGGCGATGCAGGATCGAAGCCTGTACCAGCCGCATTGGTTGTCCCGCGCATGGTTCGGATCAAACGGTAAACCGTCGTCGTCCAGGATCGAGCGCCACACAAACACAATACGATGCTCTTGGTCAAAGCGCTGGGTGACCGTCCGTCCTTCAAAAACAGGAAATTGCTTGGCCGCATCTTGTGCGTGGTATCTAGTTCGTCCCCCTCAGGTACCAAAACAATTGGCCATGGGTTCGATACCGTGTGTACACCAAGGTGGGCGCCCACTGCTCGAGGACCTAGCACAATGGTCTCTGACTGCGACCGCTATCCAAAGAAAACGGACCTCGAGGTGCACGGGGGTTGAAAAATCCGCCGGGATCTTGGCCACGATGTAGTCCCAGTAAATGTCGGCGAGGCGCTCGTAGTCGATCGCCCACGCATGCGAGTTGACGAAATGCATGACGAGGCCTCCGTCAACATGTGAACTGCCTTGGATCCACGCCTTGCGCTTGTCTTCCTGGGTGTGGAGCGAGTGTCGAATCCACTCGGACTCGAGCTTGGTCAACTGGTGCGCCATGAGCGCCGAGGCGTCCGAGCCGCGGTCGATCGCACTTAGCCGCGCGTGACGCCAGCCCTCGGACGTCAATGGGAACGCACTGA